AGATGAAATTTGCTCTCCTTGGCTGTGTCACCTCTCTCTCCTCTCCTTGGTGATGATGGTTTTGTTCTCAAAAGCCCCTTGAGAGAGAATTTGTGGATGAAGAACCCGCCAGATCACAAGTGAAAATTTATTGATGTCAATAGATTTAGTCACATTCACTAAAAATCAAAACGGAAACTAAAACATCAGTCTGACTGAAGACATCACCACAGACATTTCACACGTTGTGCATCAGTGACAAAGGGAGGGTACCAAACAGTTAATGTCCATCTACTAGTCACATGAGAAATGCTTTAGGGTCAATCAGCGTGGTCAGCACGGTGGTCCCGCAGCATTTGTGGGGGATTGGTTCCAGAAACCTCTTGGACACCAACTCCGTGGATGCCCAGAGAATACAAAATGTGGATCAGGCGCAGTGGCTCATACCTGAAATCCCAGCACTTCGGGAGAATCAATTGAGGCCAGGAGTTCAAGACCAGCCTGGGCAACATAGCAAGACTCTGCCTCTACAAAACAAAATTAGCCAGATGTGGTGGTGTGCACCTGTGGTCCCAGCTACTCGAGAGGCCGAGGTGAAAAGATCACTTGGTCTCAAGAGTTTGAGGCTGCAGTGAGCTGTGACTGTGCCACTGCACTCCAGCCTGAATGACAAAATAAGACCCTGTCTCTTAGAAAAAGAGTTGTATTTGCATGTAACCCATACACATCTCCTATGTACTTTAAATCATCTGTAGATTACGTATGATACCAAATACGACATAAATGCTATGTAAATAGTTGTTATTCTGTATTGTTTTGAGAAATGTGTGTTGTTTCTTATTACTGTATTTTTTGTTTGCTTGTTGTTGTTGTTTCTTGGACACGAGCCCTCACTTTGTCACCCAGGCCGGAATGCCGTGGCGCCGTCTCGGCTCACTGCAGCCTTGACATCCAGGGTCCCGGCGATCCTTCTACTTCAACCTCCCAAGTAGCTGGGACTACAGGCGCTTGCCACCATGCCCGGCTATTTTTTTTTTTTTTTGTAGAGACAGGGTTTCACCATATTGCCCAGGCTGGTCTTAAACTCCTGGGCTCCAGTGATGATCCTGCCTCAGCCTCCCAAAGCACTGAGATTACAGTGTGAGCCACCACGCCAGGCTGTTATTGTTGTATTTTAATTTTTTCGAATATTTTTGATCTGCATTTGCTTGAATCTCCACATGCAGGACACATAGATACTGAGGACTGTAGTTTCAACAAAATGCTTCTGGTCACTCTGCCTTCCGCCAGCTCTGCACGATGCGCAGTGGAAGAGTGTGGCTTCCAGAGCCCACAGACCTGAGCTTCAGTTCCAGCTCCACTTCTGTGGACCAGTTACTTCTCTGAGGTCCATTCTTCTCATCTGCAAAATGGGAGAACAACTTTTCCTCAGGCTGCTGGGGAGATTAAACAAGATCATGATTCAGACAGCTTAGTGTGGTATGCGCATGATGTGCTTCATCAATCTGGCCCCCCTTTCTGTTCGCCTTCCCTCCCTCACCCCCTCACTACCTTCTCTGTGTAGGTCTTCCTCCCAAAAGTCAATATATTTCTGATTTAAGACTTGACCTCTCTGAGTCCCACCTTGGCGACTCTTGATTTGAGTGTAGATATTCCACATCTCAGCGTAGAAGAAAAGGTGGAGTAGAAATTTATACCAGGGACAGGTCCAGGTTTTAGGGGTCCTGGAGCCTCTACAATTTGGGGCACCTTCTTACAGAACTCTAAATTCTAAATTCAGCTCAGGGTGTTGGAAGGTGCCTGGGCGAGTGAGGGGGCCTGGAGCTAAAGTTTCACTCACTTCTCGGCAAATCCCCTTTGATCTGCCCGTGTTAGAATTTCACATGCAGTAAGCCGGGCATGGCGGCTCATGCCTGTAATCCCTGCACTTTGGGAGGCTGAGATGGGGAGATCACTTGAGGTCAGCCTGGCCAACATGGTAAAAGCCCTTCTCTACTAAAATTACAAAAATTAGTCTGGCCTGATGGCACATGCCTGTAATCCCAGCTGCTCAGGAGCCTGAGGCAGGAGAATGGCTTGATCCTGGGAGGCGGAAGTTGCAGTGAGCCGAGATTGTGCCACTGCACTCCAGCCTGGGTGACAGAGCAAGACTGTGTCAAAAAGAAAAAAAAAAGAATTCTACCCAAGTAAGCTGGGGCTTCGGGACCTTTCTGTTTATGTGCCTCAGAGCCTAGATGCAACGCCTTCTTCCATGAAGCCCTCCTCAGTGGCTTTCTGAAAGCCCCAAGAGCAGAGCCTGGGGAGGGGAGACCCATAGGGCTGGAGGGCAATGCCCTGACCCCTCACCTACACCCAGGTGCATCAGTTTGGGACAAGAGTGGAGAAAGGCTGCACTTGTTGAGGCTGCTCTTGAAATTCGGCCAACATCCCATCAGAAGCCTCCCTACATATCCTCTGCCATGGAACTGAGAGGTCAGCCTGACCCTCGGCTGGAGCCAGAAGGCAATGGAGCAGGGATGTAGGGAGGCTGCCAGGACCACCCGAGCATGTTCCGATCAGAGATGCAGCTCCCAGCTCCAGGCCTAGTCCCTCACCCATCTCTGCCTCCTTTTCTTTCTGGTCCTCCTTCCCTCTTCTTCCTCCTCTCTTCCCCTTCCCTTTCTCCTGCCCCTCTAGGCTCCTTCCACCTCCTCTTCTCCCTTCTCCCTCCTCCTCTTCTCTTCCCCCTCCTCCCCTCTCCCTCCTCCTCCCTCTTCCATCTCCTCTTCTCTTCCCCTCCTCCCTCTTCCTCCTCCTCCTCTCCTCTCCCCCTCCTCTCCCTTTCTCCTGCCCTCTAGGTTCCTTCCCTCTCCTCTTCCCCCTTCTCTTTCCTCCCTCTTCCCTCTTCCTCCCTTCTTCCCCCCCTCTCTCCCCTTCTCCTGCCCCTCTAGGTTTCTTCCTCTTCCTCCCCTCCTCCTCTACCTCTTCCCTTTTCCCCCTCTCCAGCCTCCCTGGGGTAGCTGGGCTCTGGAGGCCTCTTCTCCCTGTGCAGGTGTCTGCTAGAGTCTAGAGGAGCCCCCCATGCTAACACAGGCCCAGCTGGGGCATTCTGGTTATGACGGAGCTGTCCAGTTGCCTGGAAAGGGCTGACAGCAGACACAGCCCTGGTCGGGCAGAGCAAGTCCCCGGCCAGCTGGTGAGGGGATGGGCCCGAGCCAGGTAATTATTGCCTGGTGCAGAGGTCGAAAGCCGCAGAGCGGCTGATGTACTAATGAAACACAAATGGGACATCTGTGTTCAGGAGTTCAGCAAACCATGAAAAGCCCAACTTTGCCAAGAGTTTATGTACTATTGAGAGCAGGGACAGTCCCTCCAGCTAAGGGAGCAGTGCACACACCAGAAGCCATTTTCCCTGCTGCTCCACACATCCTTTATCTGGGGGTGTGGCAACTTTTTCTTCCCCAGAAAATTATCAGAGCTGGAGGTGTGTTCACCTGTGGAGCCCCTTTCCTGTAGTTCTGAAAGCCCCGATGCTGGGCCCCTGGACACACTCATGGGGAGGGACACTGCGAGGGTGTCTTCCGCCCCCTCCCCAGGCCTGGTCTGAGCATATCCGTACCTTTGCTTTGCCAGCAGAACCAACGTGGGGCATGCGGACTTGTCTGAAGCCAGAGCCTAGAGGACCCCAAGAAGGTGCTGAGTCCACACATTTACTAAGGGGATTGGCAGAAAAGAGGAGTGAGGGGGTGCCTAGAAACTGGGGTTCTCCCAGACCTGCACGCATGCCTGGAGCAACCTCTGCAAGTCACAAGCCTGCGGGGCCCCAGGTCACACTTGTAAAATGAGGGCGTGGCTGAGGGCCCTGTGTTCATTCTGACTCAAGCAACAGAAACTGACTCTGTCCTATCTGACAAAAAAGAGTTTCCTGGCAGGAAGTGAGGGTGTTTTGTGGACTAGGGGAGGCACTGGGCCGGGCACAGGCAGCCATGGGGACTGGGGCAGCAGGAGGCGGGGCTGTCTTCTGGCGGCCCTGCCCTTCCAGGACTCAACCCCAGTGCCCACTGCCCTGTGTCTTGGTACCACGGGGTGTCAATTCCCGAATTCTGGTGGGCAGACTCTTTGGCCCACGCACTTGGGTGTCTTTCCAGTGCATGGGTGGGGGATACCCAGGACCTGCCCCTGCACAGGGAGCTACTTCTGGAAGAGGGGAAATCGCAGAGAGCCAGCCGGCCACTATGCAAACACTGCGTCGATGTGCAACTGCAAATGGGTGTGCCTGTCTCACTGGGGTCTGAAGCCAGGACAGCCAAGGCCTTAGCCTGGCTCTGCACTCCTGACTCTGCGCCTCACTCGCAGCCCCCCGCTTACCCTGGGGCCATGCTTGAGCTGGGGACCAGTGCTTTAGGAAGCACAAGGCTGTGCCCCGCACTTGCCCTCAGGACGCTGCTGCTTCTGTAACCACGATGGCTAATGCGTGCTAGACACTTGCTAGGGGCCCAGCTCTAGCACCTCCCGGACTGTTTGCTGGGTGCCAACGGTAGGACTGGGGTCTTAGCTGACAGTTGCTGGGGCTCATGGCAGTGGGATCAGGACCACCCCCTGCCACTCCGCTAATGATGGCCAAACAGGGATGGGAGTTGGCTTTCCTGAGGCTGAGGCTGAGTCTGGGCTGTGCGGTCCTCTCCAGGGAGCAGCCTGTGAGGCAAGCCATGCCGAAACTGCCCATGAGCTGAGGCTGTGCTTCCAGCAGGGCCTGTTAAAGTGCCGGTCCTAGAGGGCTCAGAGTGTGGCCCACAGTCAGGAACATGGGGCCAAGAGTGTTTGTTGAGAAACGGATCACAGTGGAAGGTCAGCAGCGAGGGCCTGAATGGCCTGGAAAGATGGGCGACTATTCACCCTCCTGGGGCCACTGACCTCCCTCCCTCCGCCCCGCCTCCACGCCCCGCCCACACTCCGCCCCGCCCCACGCCCCGCCCACACTCCGCCCCGCCCCACGCCCCGCCCACACTCCGCCCCGCCTCCACGCCCCGCCCACACTTCCCTCTTCCTCTCTTTTTTGGTTGGTTGTAATCCCCAGGCTGCAGGAGGATTCATGCAGATCATCTTAGGCATTTTCCAGGAAAGGAATTTTGCCAGGCCATGCATTCGACTGAGGCCCTGGGTCACAGGCAGCGAGGCCACCGAAGGCTGCTTCCTCCTGAGGGGTTAGGAGCCCGTGGCTCTTGGGTGAAGCACCAAGGACGGCACTGTGCGTCTTTCCTGATGCGGGTTTTACCAACGTTGTTCCTGTTTTCTCCACGTTGTTAGGAAATGCTAAGAATGCTTTGCAAGTAGATGAGAACACTCACCTGCGAAGCTCTTTCGTAAGCAGGTGTGGCAGACGCTCTTCTGGCTCACTCCAGATCCACTCCCCCACTTCCCTGCTGGCGGAGTCTGATTTACTCTTCCATCTGGCCGGGCTTCAGGTGAGTTGTGTTTGGTCTACGGTTCCCATTCCCCTGAAACTGAAGCTGGTCTGAGGTTGGCCACTTCAGGGTCTTTTGTGTGCGAGGTCATGAAATCCCTCAGTGTTTAAACGTCTTTTTTCCCCCATAGGTTATTGGAGTATAGGTGGTGTTTGGTTACATGAGGAAGTTCTTAAGTGGTGATTTGTGAGATTTTAGTGCACTCCTCACCTGAGCACTAAACACCGTGCCCTATTTGCAGTCTTTGTCCCTCACCCCCTTCCATTCTTCCCTCCAGTCCCCAAAGTCCACTGTATCATTCTTATGTCCTCATAGTTTAGCTCCCACATATCAGTGAGGACATATGATGTTTGGTTTTCCATTTCTGAGTTACTTCACTTGGAATAATAGTCTCCAGTCTCATCCAGGTAGCTGTAAATGGTGTTACTTCATTCTTTTTTATGGCTGGGTAGTATTCCATCATATATATATTTATTTATTTATATATTTATCCACTCATTGATTGGTGGCTCCTGGGTTGGTTCCATGATTTGGCAGCTGCAAATTGTGCTGCTATAAACATGCGTGTACAAGTATCTTTTTTGTGTAAGGACGTCCTTTCCTCTGGGTAGATGCCCAGCAGTGGGATTGCTGGATCAAATGGTAGTTCTGCTTAGTTCTTTAAGGAATCTCCACACTGTTTTCCGTAGCGGCCATACTGGTTTCCATTCCCACCAGCAGTGTAGAAGTGTTCCCCGATCACTGCATCCACGCCAACATCTACTGTTTTTTTGTTTTTTGACGATGGTTATTCTTGCAGGAGTGAGGTGGTATCTCACTGCGGTTTTGATTTGCATTTCCTGATTATTAGTGATGTTGATCACTTTTTCATGTTTCTTGGCCATTCGTGTATCCTCTTTTGAGAATCGTTTATTCATGTCCTTAGCCCATTTTTTGATGGGATGTTTAAACCTCTTTGAGTTGGTGTTTCTGTTGCTTGTGGCCCAGAGCACCCCAGTTGACCCTACATATGAAGGGAAACTTTCTGCTTTTGTGGGAGATTCATGCTATCTGCATGGAACGCTGCATGGGTTACATACAGGTTCTGTGGATGCTGTCACCTTTGATCCCATGGCAGCCCTGAAGCAAGGGAGGTGTGGCATTGGCTCCCTGTCTCAGAGGAGAGCAACTAAGGCTCAGGACAGAGAGCAACATGGTGACAGGGCCAGAACTTCGACTCAGGAGTGGGGATTGGAGGGCTGCAGGAGACAGCCCCAGGTTTTCCTGTGACCGGACAGCTGAGAGTAACAGTGAAGGCACTCGCAAGCTGGAGAAAACCACACCAGGCTTTATGCAATCCCAGTGTGTGCAGCCCAGCTCAGCACTGATGCAGGGAGGTAGCAATGAGCCTCTTTCGTCATAGCAACTGCAGCATCTCTTAACGTGTGCTCTGGACCAAACCTGACGCATGTTCTCATTAGTCCCCGCAGAGGTCCTAGAAGGCTGCTCACATTCTTAGATGAGGAAACTACGGTCGAGAAAAGTAAGTGGAAGCTTCTGAGCTGGGACTCAGGTCTGTCAGTGTGGCCTCACGGTGCTAAATGGAAACACGGCGTCTCCATCCAGGACACAATTGCACAAAGCTCATGCATTGCGCAGAGCACTTGCGCCGACCTGGGGTGAAGCGCAGCTAGTGCGTTTGTAGCTGAGCAGGCACGTTTTTTAGGTGGCGCCCTGGGCCCTGGGCAGTGAGTAGCTCATGGTTGGGAACTTGCTTCAATGGCTCCAGCACCCTGAGACCCGGCATAGTGCCTGGGACTCAGGAGGTGCTCCCCTGGTGTTTGTTGAATGAATGAACAAGCATCTGTGATTGTGGCTGAGCTATCCAGAGCAGTTTAGAAAGTGAACATCGACTGTTGGACTTGGGTAGGGGCCTCTCATATGGCAGATGTAGAAACAGGCCGGGGAAGGTCTAAGATCGTGCTGTGTGTTGGGGAAGGGTCTAGAGTTCAGGCCTCCTGACATGTAGGCCAAGATGGGCCAGGGGGCCTCCATGTTTTATTTGTAGGAAATACCACGTGGTCAGGAGCTATGTTGGGAGGGGAGGGAGGCGGTGGGTATGTGTGTCTGGGGAGGGGAGAGGGGAAGTATGCCGAAGACTGTGCAGGACTGCATCGAGTGGGGTGCCGCCAGGAGCTGCTGTCCTTCCCAGGGCAGGAGGTCCTTCGGCTACTGCCACCCACCTTGCCACTTCTCTGGACCAACTCGACGAAGTGAGTGGCCATATTGGATATGGAGCTGCCATCAGTGTCTGGCCTCTCTGGCCAGTGTACTGAGTATGTCAGGGAAGGGAACATTTACTGGACTTCTAATCCCAGGCTGCTGAGCCTTAGGGGTCTAGGGGTTGCATCTGGAGCAAAGAGATGTTGCAACAGTCTTGCTCTGAGGTTGAGAGAAGGCGGGCTGGGATAGGGGTTCGTGGGGTTTCCCTGCCTCAGGAGTCCCCCGGCACCCATTCGAGCTGGCGGGACCAATGTGAGAGGCTCCGTGGGGCTTGACTTTGTACTGCCAGCAATGAACTTTGCTCAAAAGTGCTCTGTAGGCAGAAAGAGGAGTAGCAAAATGGCATTCATGCGCTATTTCAGGATTGCTGGCCCTGAACATTTATCACTTACTGATGCATATAATTTGCCTGATGACTCAGTTTCATATATTTTAGTTTCCAAAGATAAACAGTTTTGCATATTTCCTGCAAATGGGGGTTATATTTAATAATCTCTGGGTAGGAGGGTTGGATGCTGGGGACAGGGACAGGGAGTTAGAGGAAGGCAGAGGACTTGGGTCGGGGCAGCTTGGGCAGCGCCATCTGGAGGCTTGGCCTGTGCTTAGAATCTGGGCAGGAGGTGGCTTCAGTCTGCAAGACTTACAGGATGGGGTGCAGAAGGCTGACACAAAGATGAGGTCGCCTTTAGAGGGGTTGAATTGAATGAATACAGGCTTTGGTGCCTGGTTTTGGAGTCCGACTAGGCTGGGCATCAGGGTGGAACATGGGGGTCTTCAGCCAAGGCCAATCAGGCTCACCTTTGACCACACATTACAGACCTGGCCCTGGCCGGCCTTCTCATCAGCCCTGCTCACAAACAGGTCAACCTGAGAGCAGCAATGTGTTGTGTCTCTGAAGACACTGGGAAGCTTGCATGGCACACTAGGTCCTGGTGTGGAAGCCCCAGGAGATAATACTGTCCATATCACTGCCAAGCTGGACTCCAGTCCCAGCTCTGTTACTGACTCGGGTGCGACTTTGGACAGAGTTTAATCTTTTTGAATCTCGACAGTAACATTGACCTTACAGGGCTTCTCAAAGGCTGGGATGATGTAGTACATGTAAAAACACGTAGCACAATGCTGGGCTCGTAGTAGATGCTCAATAAATGCTTCTCTCCAAAAATGTGTGTTAAGATACTCAGGGCCACTAAAATTGTTGCTCTAGGTTTCTATCCTGAAGGAGGGACTGTCTAGTTGAGAAGGCAGAGCACTTCATCAGGCAAGTCAGGCTATGGTAGCCAGAGTGGGTCTGATTCACTTGTGGTCCTGAATCAGACGCTGGGTGGTTAGTGTCAGAAACCCAGTGCAAATGGTTTGAGTAGATTCTTATAATCAAATAGGCCAGGGGTAGCTGGCTTCCACTACATCTGGCTGCAGGACACCAAGTGACATTCTTGGGGCCTGGTCTTGTGCTTGCTGTCTCTGGGAGGGTTCTGTCCCTTGTGGTGCCAAGATAGCTGCTGGAAGCTTCAGGCTCATAGCCACCTTCTCAGAAGCAACAGTGGAAGTGAATTCTTCTCCTTCCCATCAGCCCAGCTGAAAGGCTTAGCAATGACTCTCATTGACTCAATTGCCAGCTTGGGTCACGTGCCCGTCCTTGAACCAAGGCAAAGGGGTCTGCAGGTAGAGTGAGTATTCTTGCTCTCAACTCCTCAGTCTCCTTGTCTGTGAGAAAACCATACATCTCCTATGCCTCATGCCTGGCAGTGCCTCCTGTGGGAGGAATGTACTTGTCCTCTCCACTAACCTTGAACTTGGCATGTGACTTGCTCTGGCTCACGGCGTGTGAGCAGATGTGATATGCACCATGTCTGAGCAGAGTTTTCATATTACAGATTCCACCCGCTCCTTGCTCTTTTCTTTTTCCCTCTAGAAGGGGCTGTCTCAGATAGAGACTGCTCCTTCAGCCTGGACCCAGATGTGAAGAAGCCACGTGGAACAGAGCTGCAGCTGACCTGAAGTCTGTATGAAATGAGTACCAGAGACAAATGTTTGCTGCTGGAAGTCACTGAGATCTGAGGATCATTTGTTACTGCAGCATCTAGCAGAAACTGACCGATACACAGAGGGAATGGGTCCTTGGTGGGTGGAAACAATATATATGCCGCAGAGAGGCAGACTCCGAAAGCCCCATGAATTCAGAGAGAAACACCCCATGCCTGGCTGAGGGCTTGAAACAGGAGGCAGGAGATAGGGGGACGTTGGTTTTTGGTGACCTTACTGGGCTCGCTGAGGCAGTGCAACACCTGTTTCTCTGGACCATTACTACACAGGTCAGATTGTGAGTCTTGCCCTAGATTCAGCATTCTCTGAGAGTTTCCTTAAGACACAGTCTTGATCATATTACTTTCTTGCTTAGACTCCCTCAGTAGGTCCCCACTGCCCCAGGATAAAGTCTAGACCCCCAAGCGTGTCCTGCATGGCCTGCCTTACATGTCTGAGTCTGGGCATTCTAAGTGCTAGTGAGCCACAAAGTGTGTGCATCCTGGTGCCCAGCCCATCTCCACTGCTGCCCCGGGGGCAAATCCACATCACCCCTTAGCGGGACTACGGCTGGTGCCTCCTGACTGGAAGGCTTCCACTCAGCTCCCTTCCAGTCCGCCCTCCACCCAGCCACTTCTCAAATGTAAACCCCATCTTGTTGCCATCCCACCGCCATGTACACAATACAATCCGAACTCCTTCTGGAGTGGGTG